GCATATTGTGTAGCCATGGACCATAATGGCAACTGGATGTATCAATGTATCCATTAACGTCAACTTTTTAAAAAAATGTTTTAGTATGGATGGCCTGATTTTCAATATATATAAATAGATCCAAAAAGCTAATGCCAGTAGTGCTATGTTCGCTAGTGATACGTATATCAGAATTATTTTCATTAAGAAACTCCACAAAAGATCCAAGAGACTCCTCATCTCCTTGCCAAATAAAAAAAATATCATCTATGTACCTGCGATAGAGGACCAGACTATGCGCCCAGCGTGCTTCGGAGAGAAAAAAAATTTCCCACCGTGCCATAAAAAGATTGGCATAGCTGGGCGCAAATCTGGTCCCCATCGCGGTACCTTTAAGTTGTAAAAAAAACTTACTATCAAACCAAAAATAATTATGATGGAGGATGAGTGCAATACTATCCAAAATGAAAGTAATTTGTTCTTCATGCATATTACTTTGATGTCTTAAAAAATATTCTACCGCTTTACAACCCAAAGTGTGTGATATACATGTGTACAAGCTTGTGACATCACAAGTGACTAGATAGTAGTTATCCTTCCATTGAATATCCATTAATAGTGTAAGTAAGGAAGAAGAATCTTTTAAGTATGACGGTTGTGAAGTTACTAAAGGCTGAAGTTGTTTATCTATATACTCAGATAGATTGCTTAAAAGTGATCCAACTCCAGACACTATAGGTCTACCAGGTGGATTTTTTTGATCTTTATGTATTTTGGGAAGTATATACAGTACCGGAGTCCTACAGGAGGTGACATCAAGATATTCAAATTCTTTTTTATTTAAGATCTCTAGTACTTTACCTCTATCCAATAATTCTGAATAAGCTTTCTTGATCTGAGTGATAGGATCTCCTTTTAATTCTTTATAGGTAGTGGAGTCATTTAATTGACGATATATTTCTGAATAATATTGTTCCCTATTTAAAATGACTACGCCCCCGCCTTTATCGGCGGGTTTAATAACTATACTAGTATCAGACTGTAATTCTTTCATAGCTTTTCTTTGCTGTCGACTAATATTACTATATATAGGTTTCTTAATTTTTTTCACCTCATCCATAACCAATCTTTCAAAAACTTTCATTCCTCCATTAATATAGTGGCGTGGAAAAAAAGTGGATTTCTTTTTTAAAGAAGTATGATTAAACTTAGAAACAGGCGGAGTTTCATCCGCTGGAAAAGGTTTATCAAAAAACAGTTTTATGCACATATTACGTGTGAATTTGTGCAAATCAATAAAAGTTTGAAATGGTTGGTTATATTCTGATGGGACGAATTTAAGACCTTTCTTTAAAATTTCTATTTGAGAGTTAGTTAAAATTTTTTCTGACAAATTAAAAATGCCTATTGTTCTATCATTCTGCCTCTTTTTTTCTCTCTCCAAGATTCTTCCTGCTCTAACTCCTCTCTTGCTCCCTGCCAAACTCTTTTTTGGGGGAAATCCCTCATATCTCTCCTTAGGGGTTTTTGCCCTAAAAAAAGAGGGGATTGTTGAGATGTTACATTTTTAGGTTCATTTTCGGTTATAAATTTTGAATTTTCGGACTTTCTATAATTATAGTCTGTTCTTTTCTGAGGTATTTTTTGATAGGACATATTTCTCCCTTCCCTATTACGTGTGTAAATGGGCATTTCGTTTTGATTGTAAAATTTCTTATTATGTTGTTTATTTACATAATTAGTTTTTTTAGGTGAAAATTGGTGGGAATAGGTATCTCTATATTGATGAGCTCTATTATGTGACTGTGATTTGTCACGTGGTTGAAATTTTTTTGAAAAAGTGCGTACTCGATTAAAAGCGTAATCATTCTTATCTCTCAGAAATTTTTTCTTTTTGATAGCTACTGTCTCTTGTTCGACTTTTTCCACAAAATCTTTAACTGTCTCTAGAGATTTTTCTACCTCTTCACACCCTGTTAGAGGTCTCAATTTTTCTTTAATCTGATTTATTTCTGTATCTAATTTTAATAAATTTCTTTTTCTCTGTTGAATACAGATTTTCATCATTCTCACAGAGAAAGATTCAAGGGCTGCATCCCAAATTTCTATAAATTCTGAGTCGTCTCTATCGAATGTGGGAGTTTTAAAAAACCTCAAACCCCTAGGTGTAATATTGTTTTCCAAATATTTGGTCATGGTAAATATTTCCCACTTAATTTTGGTTTCTTTTACCAAAAGCTGTTGTAACTTATGACAAGTGTAATCAAGATCGTCATTATTGGAATTAACATTATCTCTTTCACATTCAAATCTATTGGCTAATTTATCTTGCCAATTATCTCGATTGGTAAACAGATCCATTTTATAATTGAGCAGCCTACACTAGTGTAGGGAAAAGCAATATAATACAAAAAAGACAAAAAACTAGTGTATAGGCGCTTCGTAAATCTAAAGATAAAAGTGGTGGAAGATATAAAAGTGTTTCCCCAAACACAATAAAACGTGAATAACAAAGACAAAATGTATATCAAACCACACAACGTGAAAAGGTAATAGATATGCAGAAAATACAACCTGAGCTTGTCAGTATAATCAGGTGGTATCTAAAAGCATAAGATAAAATACAACATAGTGTAATCTGTATAAAAACAATAAGAATAGGGCAAAACAGACTATCACTCACATTATGCAGAGCCGTCCCAGGCTCTGTATTGTAGGCTCAAAGGTGCCAATACAGGCAAACGAAATTCCCAGAAAGTGGATGGAGAAGTTGCTCAAAAGATATATATTTATTAAGTAAAATTCAAAATTATAAAAGCTCGAGGTAATAGGGGAGTGGAATCCAGACCATGCAAACAAAAGGATATCCACTTACCCCAAACAGCAACCAAGAGCAAGTGCATAGAATGAACACAAATAAAAATAATAATAAAATACAGCTGGGTAACAGCAGCAAGCAGCAGACGCGTTTCGGCTATACAAGCCTTCTTCAAGTGCTAGTATTGGGGTCTCCGGAGCTTCCTTAAATACTTCAAGTCATTACAAACACATGTGTATAGTCTCCGTTTGATTCTGTCACTTCCGGTATTTTCAAATGACGTCACTTCCGGTTAGCGGCGTTTGGAACGCATGGTGGAACGCATAATGGAACGCATGGTGGAACGCAAACTTCACCATGCCGTTTTCTTGCCGACCGGATAGCAAAGTCCATAACATATGAAATGTAAATACAAAACGTATAAAAAGGAAGAAATAGTTAATTCAGTTCAATTGCACATACATATGAGGCAATAGACATATAACAAGTATATAAATATAAGAATAATATATAATAAAATATATAATTAAAATAAGAGTTGGCAATAGATGGAAAATAAAAGCAATAAAGGCATAACAATATCTTAAAAAGATAAAAAATTAAAAAATATTTATCAATATAGAAATTACTCTAAAAATTGGCTAAATTCAAAATCTAAATTAAGTCCATTGGGAGATAATGTGTCTACTTCAAAAATCCATTTACTTTCTATCTTGGCCAACTCTTTTACATTATTTTCACCTCTCCAATTTTTTTCTTTTTTAAAAATGGCCATAAATGATAATACTGATGGATCACTTCTATGTTTTTCAGCAAAATGTGCTGACACACTATGTTTAAGATATTCCCTCTGTATATTGCCCAGGTGTTCCGCAATTCTGGTTTTTAAAGCTCTAGTGGTCATCCCAATGTATTGCAGACCACATGGGCACCAGAGAAGATATATAATATTAGTCGATTGACAAGTTAAAACCTGGCGAATGGAGAACAAGCGATGATTATAGCAAGAAGAAAAAGAGGTAGTTTTGGCCAAGATAGAAAGTAAATGGATTTTTGAAGTAGACACATTATCTCCCAATGGACTTAATTTAGATTTTGAATTTAGCCAATTTTTAGAGTAATTTCTATATTGATAAATATTTTTTAATTTTTTATCTTTTTAAGATATTGTTATGCCTTTATTGCTTTTATTTTCCATCTATTGCCAACTCTTATTTTAATTATATATTTTATTATATATTATTCTTATATTTATATACTTGTTATATGTCTATTGCCTCATATGTATGTGCAATTGAACTGAATTAACTATTTCTTCCTTTTTATACGTTTTGTATTTACATTTCATATGTTATGGACTTTGCTATCCGGTCGGCAAGAAAACGGCATGGTGAAGTTTGCGTTCCACCATGCGTTCCATTATGCGTTCCACCATGCGTTCCAAACGCCGCTAACCGGAAGTGACGTCATTTGAAAATACCGGAAGTGACAGAATCAAACGGAGACTATACACATGTGTTTGTAATGACTTAAAGTATTTAAGGAAGCTCCGGAGACCCCAATACTAGCACTTGAAGAAGGCTTGTATAGCCGAAACGCGTCTGCTGCTTGCTGCTGTTACCCAGCTGTATTTTATTATTATTTTTATTTGTGTTCATTCTATGCACTTGCTCTTGGTTGCTGTTTGGGGTAAGTGGATATCCTTTTGTTTGCATGGTCTGGATTCCACTCCCCTATTACCTCGAGCTTTTATAATTTTGAATTTTACTTAATAAATATATATCTTTTGAGCAACTTCTCCATCCACTTTCTGGGAATTTCGTTTGCCTGTATTGGCACCTTTGAGCCTACAATACAGAGCCTGGGACGGCTCTGCATAATGTGAGTGATAGTCTGTTTTGCCCTATTCTTATTGTTTTTATACAGATTACACTATGTTGTATTTTATCTTATGCTTTTAGATACCACCTGATTATACTGACAAACTCAGGTTGTATTTTCTGCATATCTATTACCTTTTCACGTTGTGTGGTTTGATATACATTTTGTCTTTGTTATTCACGTTTTATTGTGTTTGGGGAAACACTTTTATATCTTCCACCACTTTTATCTTTAGATTTACGAAGCGCCTATACACTAGTTTTTTGTCTTTTTTGTATTATATTGCTTTTCCCTACACTAGTGTAGGCTGCTCAATTATAAAATGGATCTGTTTACCAATCGAGATAATTGGCAAGATAAATTAGCCAATAGATTTGAATGTGAAAGAGATAATGTTAATTCCAATAATGACGATCTTGATTACACTTGTCATAAGTTACAACAGCTTTTGGTAAAAGAAACCAAAATTAAGTGGGAAATATTTACCATGACCAAATATTTGGAAAACAATATTACACCTAGGGGTTTGAGGTTTTTTAAAACTCCCACATTCGATAGAGACGACTCAGAATTTATAGAAATTTGGGATGCAGCCCTTGAATCTTTCTCTGTGAGAATGATGAAAATCTGTATTCAACAGAGAAAAAGAAATTTATTAAAATTAGATACAGAAATAAATCAGATTAAAGAAAAATTGAGACCTCTAACAGGGTGTGAAGAGGTAGAAAAATCTCTAGAGACAGTTAAAGATTTTGTGGAAAAAGTCGAACAAGAGACAGTAGCTATCAAAAAGAAAAAATTTCTGAGAGATAAGAATGATTACGCTTTTAATCGAGTACGCACTTTTTCAAAAAAATTTCAACCACGTGACAAATCACAGTCACATAATAGAGCTCATCAATATAGAGATACCTATTCCCACCAATTTTCACCTAAAAAAACTAATTATGTAAATAAACAACATAATAAGAAATTTTACAATCAAAACGAAATGCCCATTTACACACGTAATAGGGAAGGGAGAAATATGTCCTATCAAAAAATACCTCAGAAAAGAACAGACTATAATTATAGAAAGTCCGAAAATTCAAAATTTATAACCGAAAATGAACCTAAAAATGTAACATCTCAACAATCCCCTCTTTTTTTAGGGCAAAAACCCCTAAGGAGAGATATGAGGGATTTCCCCCAAAAAAGAGTTTGGCAGGGAGCAAGAGAGGAGTTAGAGCAGGAAGAATCTTGGAGAGAGAAAAAAAGAGGCAGAATGATAGAACAATAGGCATTTTTAATTTGTCAGAAAAAATTTTAACTAACTCTCAAATAGAAATTTTAAAGAAAGGTCTTAAATTCGTCCCATCAGAATATAACCAACCATTTCAAACTTTTATTGATTTGCACAAATTCACACGTAATATGTGCATAAAACTGTTTTTTGATAAACCTTTTCCAGCGGATGAAACTCCGCCTGTTTCTAAGTTTAATCATACTTCTTTAAAAAAGAAATCCACTTTTTTTCCACGCCACTATATTAATGGAGGAATGAAAGTTTTTGAAAGATTGGTTATGGATGAGGTGAAAAAAATTAAGAAACCTATATATAGTAATATTAGTCGACAGCAAAGAAAAGCTATGAAAGAATTACAGTCTGATACTAGTATAGTTATTAAACCCGCCGATAAAGGCGGGGGCGTAGTTATTTTAAATAGGGAACAATATTATTCAGAAATATATCGTCAATTAAATGACTCCACTACCTATAAAGAATTAAAAGGAGATCCTATCACTCAGATCAAGAAAGCTTATTCAGAATTATTGGATAGAGGTAAAGTACTAGAGATCTTAAATAAAAAAGAATTTGAATATCTTGATGTCACCTCCTGTAGGACTCCGGTACTGTATATACTTCCCAAAATACATAAAGATCAAAAAAATCCACCTGGTAGACCTATAGTGTCTGGAGTTGGATCACTTTTAAGCAATCTATCTGAGTATATAGATAAACAACTTCAGCCTTTAGTAACTTCACAACCGTCATACTTAAAAGATTCTTCTTCCTTACTTACACTATTAATGGATATTCAATGGAAGGATAACTACTATCTAGTCACTTGTGATGTCACAAGCTTGTACACATGTATATCACACACTTTGGGTTGTAAAGCGGTAGAATATTTTTTAAGACATCAAAGTAATATGCATGAAGAACAAATTACTTTCATTTTGGATAGTATTGCACTCATCCTCCATCATAATTATTTTTGGTTTGATAGTAAGTTTTTTTTACAACTTAAAGGTACCGCGATGGGGACCAGATTTGCGCCCAGCTATGCCAATCTTTTTATGGCACGGTGGGAAAATTTTTTTCTCTCCGAAGCACGCTGGGCGCATAGTCTGGTCCTCTATCGCAGGTACATAGATGATATTTTTTTTATTTGGCAAGGAGATGAGGAGTCTCTTGGATCTTTTGTGGAGTTTCTTAATGAAAATAATTCTGATATACGTATCACTAGCGAACATAGCACTACTGGCATTAGCTTTTTGGATCTATTTATATATATTGAAAATCAGGCCATCCATACTAAAACATTTTTTAAAAAAGTTGACGTTAATGGATACATTGATACATCCAGTTGCCATTATGGTCCATGGCTACACAATATGCCAAATAGCCAATTTTTGCGAATATATAGAAATTGCAGTGATACTAAAGTATTTGAAGAACAAGCACAATTTTTAAAAACTAGGCTAGTGGAAAAAAATTATGATCCAAAGTCTTTGGATTTTTTTATTAAAAATACCAAAGATAAAGAGCGAAAAGAAATTTTAAAACCAAAAAAGAAATTAATAGTGAAAAATGATGAAAAACCTGTAAGAGTCCCTATTGTTTTAAATTATAATGAAAACGCTAGGCAAATTAAACATATTATAAATAAATATTGGCACATTCTTAGATCCGACCCAGCTCTTAAAAATATTATAGGAGAGAAACCGACTATAATATATAGAGGTGCAAAAAATTTAAAACAACATTTAACTACTAGCTTTATTAAAGATAAAAAACAAAAAAACTTTTTTAATGTAGAACAAGGCTTTTACCCTTGTAAATCTTGCGTGGCGTGTAGGAAGACTCTTTTTAAAAAACAAAAAACTACCTCTTTTTCTTCTTGCTATAATCATCGCTTGTTCTCCATTCGCCAGGTTTTAACTTGTCAATCGACTAATATTATATATCTTCTCTGGTGCCCATGTGGTCTGCAATACATTGGGATGACCACTAGAGCTTTAAAAACCAGAATTGCGGAACACCTGGGCAATATACAGAGGGGATATCTTAAACATAGTGTGTCAGCACATTTTGCTGAAAAACATAGAAGTGATCCATCAGTATTATCATTTATGGCCATTTTTAAAAAAGAAAAAAATTGGAGAGGTGAAAATAATGTAAAAGAGTTGGCCAAGATAGAAAGTAAATGGATTTTTGAAGTAGACACATTATCTCCCAATGGACTTAATTTAGATTTTGAATTTAGCCAATTTTTAGAGTAATTTCTATATTGATAAATATTTTTTAATTTTTTATCTTTTTAAGATATTGTTATGCCTTTATTGCTTTTATTTTCCATCTATTGCCAACTCTTATTTTAATTATATATTTTATTATATATTATTCTTATATTTATATACTTGTTATATGTCTATTGCCTCATATGTATGTGCAATTGAACTGAATTAACTATTTCTTCCTTTTTATACGTTTTGTATTTACATTTCATATGTTATGGACTTTGCTATCCGGTCGGCAAGAAAACGGCATGGTGAAGTTTGCGTTCCACCATGCGTTCCATTATGCGTTCCACCATGCGTTCCAAACGCCGCTAACCGGAAGTGACGTCATTTGAAAATACCGGAAGTGACAGAATCAAACGGAGACTATACACATGTGTTTGTAATGACTTGAAGTATTTAAGGAAGCTCCGGAGACCCCAATACTAGCACTTGAAGAAGGCTTGTATAGCCGAAACGCGTCTGCTGCTTGCTGCTGTTACCCAGCTGTATTTTATTATTATTTTTATTTGTGTTCATTCTATGCACTTGCTCTTGGTTGCTGTTTGGGGTAAGTGGATATCCTTTTGTTTGCATGGTCTGGATTCCACTCCCCTATTACCTCGAGCTTTTATAATTTTGAATTTTACTTAATAAATATATATCTTTTGAGCAACTTCTCCATCCACTTTCTGGGAATTTTGTTTGCCTGTATTGGCACCTTTGAGCCTACAATACAGAGCCTGGGACGGCTCTGCATAATGTGAGTGATAGTCTGTTTTGCCCTATTCTTATTGTTTTTATACAGATTACACTATGTTGTATTTTATCTTATGCTTTTAGATACCACCTGATTATACTGACAAGCTCAGGTTGTATTTTCTGCATATCTATTACCTTTTCACGTTGTGTGGTTTGATATACATTTTGTCTTTGTTATTCACGTTTTATTGTGTTTGGGGAAACACTTTTATATCTTCCACCACTTTTATCTTTAGATTTACGAAGCGCCTATACACTAGTTTTTTGTCTTTTTTGTATTAAATTCAGTATATATGCAGAGTTGTACTTGTATTAAGTGACTGTGTGTGTGTGTGTGTGTGTGTGTGTGTAAATTCAGGGGGTTGTTTGTGTAAATGTAGGGAACTCTTTGGGTAGCATGTAAATGTGCACAGGCAAGGGTTTTTTTCGGGACAGGGGTGGATTTAGAATCCAAACTCATTATTCCAAAAACATAGACACATATGTCCATACAAATACAGCTAAACAATTTTACAAATATCATCTTAGGTATTACACCTACCCTTCTATTTTATTGTGTCTTCTACTGGACAAGAGAGACCCCGGATTTTGTGACAACTGCCATTTTGAACTGTACCAATATATTACAAGCGCAAAATTTCCCCCCTGCTGCTACTAATTTTACAAATATGCATTCAGTGATAAATACCTATATACATTTAAATGTACAGCTTTTGCTATGGCATGGACACTGATGATCTGATTCCTGCCTGACAAATAAAATCAAATTAAATAACCTTTTTTTTCTCTCTTTGTAAAAAGCTTAGGAAGGTCCTGCCTATTTAATCAATAACTTGGTTGTGAGCAGTTTGGAGTAGAATGGGGGTAACCCCTCAATTAGCTCCGGTTTGCAGCTAGACATAAATGAATCTGGCTTATCAGGTAGAGCATTTATCCTGGTGCCCCCCGCAACCCACCACAGTCATTGTATATGTGCGTTTGCATGTGTTTGTGTGAGAAAGTAGGGGTATTTAAGTGGAGTATTACTGTGTGCAGAGATAAAATGTATTGTTACTATGGCCCAATGGTGGGCAACTTTTTTTTGCCAGTTTTTCTGTTTGTTACGGACTTTGTATACCAGAATGCTCAGAGAGCTGAAGGTTAACCATCACGTATTGTGTGGGGCACATGTGGACTTGTCTACTATATTATCTTCGTATATAGGTGCACATTGTGCAGATGTAACTAATACAGAAGAGACAAACCTTTGTCTGGCAAAGCCCAAATATAAAGGGATTTTAGTGATGTGCTACAGAAGGGAAATAGGCAACTTTGCTATTTGGCTTTTCCTTTAGGCCCCCTCCACTTGCTGACTTTTTCATCCTAGGATTGGTTGCCATCAATTGTGAGGAGAGTGGTTTTTCGTATATCTACTATAAACACCTTATTTCGCTCCCTCCTTCCCTGCTTATCATTTTTGATAAACATTCTGATGTTCCTTTACTATGTTGAACTCTAACCCCTCCCTCAAATTATAGATATTTTCTTGTGTTGGCCAAAGAACCCCATTTTGTGAGAATATAAATTTACAGAAATGTTTATAACAAGCTAAACTTATGCATATACTGAGTATGTACCATACTGCCAGCCACTGTAAATTAAACAAGACAAAGTGAATACTTATGTTTATATTTTGGCAATACAGTCAACTTTGTGCGGTAGCTGTTCACATTAATTTGGCATTTATGTATAGAACGTGTGTGCTCCATCAATCTCTAGTGTCATTAAATATTAAAATGCAGATGCCGAAGTAAGGGTGCTGTCACCCGTTCATTAAGAATATGTAATCCTTAGCGAGATTGATAGACTAGGAACCTAACGGCGTGTTTTTACTATAAATCTACTTTCAGCTCTGAAAAACAAGTCATAGTCTTTTATAGGCAAAAATGTTCTCAAATTCCTAGAAACAAGCAGCATCAGGGGTGTTCTAGTAATTTATATATTTACATTTGGAGGAAAAAAAAAATCTTAATGCTAGCAAAAGTTAAATTTAGTTTTATTTTATTGGGGTAACTAATTTTCTGCAACTCTGACAAAATCTTGTTTATATCAGAAACACATAGGTACTAATATATTATTAGCTGTCTGGTGTTAATTAGGGCGAATTACCAGGATGGAATAGTCTGCTCCACAGAAATTTATCACCAGTGCCTGCAATACTGATAGTGGAATGGCAGTTACTGAAAGAGTACAGTTTCTACTTAAAACCGACTTATTAACAAGGTGTCAAAAATTCCTCTGAGGATTTCGACTGTAACTATGAAATAGTAAACAAACCAGTGGAGCTCTGTGCATTATGTCTCTGAACAGGAAAATGTCTGCTGCGGGAGTCTACCCAGCAAATGTAAACATCTGAAAACAGACCAAATCATTATTTTTCTGCCGTACATTTTTTTTATTTTTTTTTATTTTTTTACTTTTACCCATACAATTTTAGCTGGGGTGCTGCAATCCTCATATTTTCCATTTTTCCACAGATATCAAATGGTTAATGGATGTATTGAGAGAAAATTGTTATTGATAAGGCTATAAAATTATGTTTGTAT